CGCAGCGTTATGGCCCTGCAGCCACAGCAGCACTGCTGTGCTCACCGCAGGCTCCCTGTAAGTCACCACCAATGGCACAAGGGCATTCTTAAGAGCGAATCAGGGGCAAAGACACAAATCAGCTATAGAGCTGTGCCAGGAAACAACATGCTGCACACAGCTCTCACAAGAGAGCACACATGTGAGGTCCCTGTACTCTCTCCCAGGGGAGATGGAGGAGGAAAGCCACTCCACGGAGCAGTTACCTGTGGCTTCATTGTAGTACACGTTGATTCTCTCCAGCTGCAGGTCGCTGTCCCCATGGTAGCTGCCGGTGGGATCGATACCGTGCTCATCGCTGATGACCTCCCAGAACTGCAGGGACCACCAGAGGGACAGGGGCGTCACCGCGGCCCCGCCCCCCCGACCACCGCCCGGCCACGCAGCGCGTGGAGATCCACAGCCTCCCCACGGTGCTCGGCTGTGACACCGACGCCCTGGGAGCCCGCAGCCCACTGAGACGGCGGCAAGCAGAATTGCTTCCTCGTACGCCCACCTCGGAGCCGCGCCACGCCCGCACCACGGAACCACCGCAACGCCACCGGGAGCTGCCGGCAAGGAGAAGCCGAGCAGAACCGCTCGTGCCTGGGGACGTGAGGACCCCATATGGGAGCCCCGCTTTAGAGCGCACGGAGACCGGCGCGCGCGAACACGTGGCAGATCGCCATGCACACGGCGGGGCGGCGGCCCGTACCTTGGCGCCGATCTGGTTGCCGCACTGCCCTGCCTGGATGTGCACGATCTCACGCATGATGCCGGTGTCCGCCGATGCCGCGCTGCTCCCACTCCGTCAGCTCCCGCACTCTGCGCTGCAGCGGCCGCGCCCCGCTCCGCGCCTTAAATTGGGGCGCTGCGCACCACCCCTCGGCGACGTCACGCGGCAGCGGCGCGCAGCCAATGGGAGCGCGAGACCGGGGCGGGGCTGAGGCGCCGGAACCTGTAGCGGGGAGCGGGGGGCGGGAATAAGGGCGGGGCTTCGGGACGGTCCTTCGCGCACCGGGGCCGACGCCCGGACCCCGCCCTGCCCCGCCGCCGGCACCGAGGACAAAGGCGCGGGCTGCACGGGTGTCTGGGCTGGGGCGGCGGTTCGGGGGTCGCGCCCCAGGGCTGCGTTCGCTGTGTAGGTGCCGAGGCGTCCCACCGGCGCGGTACCGGCGCCGCCGCTCCTCGGCGCCCGCTCGGCCCTTTGTTCGTCCATCGCTGCCGCAGCGGCGGGCGGTGCCGGGAGGGGCGGGCGCTGTCACAGGGGGGGTCCGCGAGTACCTCCGTGAGCCGACAGCCGCTGCTGGAAGGGGGGGAGGCTGCTGCCTGCGGGGCGTCGGTGCGCTCTGCCCCCAGCTGCAGGGCACGCACGCTACCAGCGGAGCGGTGTGGTTGGCCGCTTGTTGGTTTTTCCCCCAGATGTGAAAGAAGCGCCTTGCCCCGAGCCGGGGAACGGCCCGACGTCGGGGTGCGGCTGTCCCGGGGGCACCCGGCTCGCGCCCCTTTGCCCTTTGTCACCGCTCGTCTTCTTTGTCCCCGCCGGCCTCCCGCGCGACCCGACCGCACCGCGGGTCTCCGTGCCTCTGATTTCTGCCTCCGTGCCAGAGCGTCCCACCTCCCTTTGTTAGCGCCGCAGCTGGAGGGGGGGTTACGGGGCTGGAAACGCACCCGCGGGGTTGTCTCTTCCACGGGGATCTGGGGAAAAATCCCATCACTTGCACTCCCCATAAGAGCTGTCTGCGCTGGGCTGAGCCAGGAGCGATTCCATTGTCTGGCTGAGCACGCCTCGCCGGCAATGTGTACTTTGAATTCCACGCGAAAGGTTTTTGCGGCACACTAAGGGTGGGGTGGACGCCTCTACCATCGCTCGCCTAACAAGCAGCCCGCAGAACAGCAGCTCCCTCGGAGCACCGCATGCTGCAGGTGCTGACCGAGCGGTGCCTTTCTCCCCTGCTGCTGCTCAAAGGACGGCTCGGCTCGGCTGCGGCAGAGCCAGTGCAAAATGCCGGGACCGCGAGTGCTTGCCGCTGTTATCTCCAGGTGTTCCGAGTGCCACACGCTGTGTGTTAGTTGCTTGCTACAAGATTTATTGGCATTGCAGGGAGTAGCTGATCTCGCTCATCCTCCTTACCTATGCTAAGCTCATTGCCAGCAGCTCCAGGCTCTGAAGGAAGCCATTTTAAAACCCAGTTCAAGAGAACGGATTATTAGCACCAGAAAGAAACCCACTCTGCATGCTTGTTCCTAGAAGAAATTAATTCACAGATCTGAAAAGGAGGAATACGTGCCTGTGTTTTCTATAGAACTTGTTGAGACTGGAAAGGAAAAAGAAAAAAGAAAAAAAAAGACAGGAAAATAAAAAAGAAAAGAGGTTATTTCCAAATGAAATATGGGGCACAAGGGGGGAGAAGCAGGTCTGTGTTTTTCTATGTACTCCAGCTGAAGGCTGCGGCCATGCACGGGAGCCACCCAGATAACTGCGGCAGCCTTTGGGCAGGGCTCGGCGCACTCATTGCAAATTCTCCACAGGGCCACGGCTTGCTGGGCCGCTCCTTTCTGCTGCCTAGCTTTTCCTCCCTGCACCCCTGTGTCTGCCGGCCGCGGGCTGGATGCCACCCTCAGCAGTTCCCCAGGCAACCGGCCTGGTGGCAGAAACAGGCTGAGCGGCAAAGGGAGGGGAACAAAAAGCCCCGCAAGAATTTCGCTCCCAGGGCTGATTTCCCATGGTGTAAAAGTGGTGTGGCTACATGAGCCAGGCAGCGGCAGCTCCCGGGTTGTTGTGCAGCCATCCCTGTCAGCCATGTGAGTGAGAGGAGGCACAAAGTGACCTCAGCACAGAGCCCGTTTAATGAAGCTCGGAGGATCGGGCCGGTTTTCTCTGATGCATGCTCTCCCCGGTGCTGTTAGGGTTTGCATCCTCCCAGCTGGGAGCTGGATGTGATCCCCTTCAGCCCTCTGCTGCCAGAGTGATGGCTGATGGAAGCCAGAGGCCCTGGCAGGGGGCAGAACGTGGCCCTTGGCAGCCAATGAATGCCCCAGGGAAGGACTCGTTGTCTCACTTTGTGATATCTGCATTGGTGCGATGTGCTGCAGCAGTGTGTGTGCTCATCGTGATGATTTTCCCAAGGAGGAACTTGCTCTTCCTTTTGGAAACTGTGTGCCTACCATACGTCCTCATCCAGGGGCACCCCAGGAGGATGCGAATGGCTCAACGACCTGGCAACTATGTGCGAGGCTGGGGAGCTCCATGGTGTAGGGGCACAGTTAGTGGGCACAGTGATGGCAGGTTGAGGGTTGGACTTATAGATAATCTTAGTGGTCTTTTTCAACCCTAAAGATCCTATGATTTGGGAGGATTTCACATTGGTGTCCAGGTTGAGGAAATGTTTTTGTCTCAACCCATGCTGGCTGGAGGGAGAGGGTGCGAAGCAGCACAAGGCTGCGTGCTTGGCATGCCTTCTCTGCAAGCTTGCTCCCACTCCTGCACAGCCTCACTGCACAGCCTGGCCCAGGATCCTGAGAAAATCGCTAAGCTCCGAGAAAGTCATTAGAGCAGAGCCCCGCCAGATAGGAGAAGGTAAAACTGCAGACAGAAAGAGGATTATAGGAACAGGATCATGGGTAGCTCCAGGGCAGGGGAGGATCAGCAGTAGCGCAGAAAGCCTTTCTGTAGGATGCTAAGGGAAGAAAAAGAGGGAGGGCTGGGAAGGATGACTGCTAGGGAGAGCTGCCGCCCTACAGTGCTCACAGTGTGAGCATTTCTTGTTCTGGCTCATCCGTGCTCAGGCTCACAGGTGTGCCCTCACTGCAGCAAAGGGCGGTGTGAGCATCTAACAGCATCTTAAACCGTGTGTAGTAGGTGACTATGAACCACTGCAGTACAAAAGGGAGGTGAGAAATGGTGTCCGTGATGAGGAAATGATCGAGCAATTAGAAGGGCAGAGTTTTCCCGAGATGATGCAGGAGTGCTGATGAGGAATCGATCCTCACATAAATCTCCTCGCATGGACACCGGGCACGGCAAGGTGCTCTATTGGTGCTGTGGTCCCTGAGCCAATGGCAGGGGGGCACTTGGTGCCTGTGTGCACGGCTCTCCGGGCATAAATATTAATAGCGTTCCAGCCCGGCACTAGTGCTGATGCAGCTGTTTCTTACGTTAATGTGGAACGAATTCACTGAATGCAAAAGAGCAAGGGATGAAAGAAAATACTCAGTTGCTAGTCTGAGTTGTTCTTGCAATCTGCTCTCAGTCGGTTTTGTCCTGAGCAGTCTCTTTGTGTGCGGTCTGAACCGAGATGGGGCAGATTTGCATAGCTGGAGATTCTGGTGGCAGATTGCAACGTTAGAGGGCAAAAACACTGCTGGAACTTCATCTGCAGTCCCCAGGTCATGCTCTGGAATCACGACGACAGGCAACACGCATGTCTGGGAAATGCTGCCTTTTGCTTCAAGCCTTGTTGTTTAAATCTTATTCTCGTCCATCCCGAGGACTTTCATCCTTGAAAACCCAATAGCAACACACTGCCCCGCGTCCCTATGGGCTCAGCATTCCACCGAATCCACTGCTCGCTAGGACGTGGTGCGTTAATGAAGCAGGGGCTCGGTAACCGGGTTGAACAAAGCGTTTGTCAAGGTCTCCTGTCACCACCCCGCTCTCCCCTCCCCGCAGCAGCATTGCGGAGAGCAGCGCAGCTCCCTGCAAGGCAGAGCTGCTGTCAACTCGTTAACACTTTCTTTCTCTTTGCAAAAGGCACCGCTGTGCAAATGGATTGTAAAGATCTTATCAGGCTTTGGCTGCTCTCAGGTGCCTCTGATACACACCTTTCTGTATGCTAAAGAAAAATAAAATGCTTTTGGAGGAGGAAAAAATGGCCTCAGATCATTCAAATATATAATGTTAAATCTCTGGATTACAGAAAAATAAAATGGCTGTTTGGAAAGATCTCTTTCTTCTCTCTCCCCAGCATCAGCTGCTCTCCTGCATTGGGCAGGAAGGAGAAGATCAGGATGCCAGGAACTTGCAGTTGAGAAAAGCAGGATTTGGGGCGGCTGCACTGCGCTATGCTTTCGGAGAGCAGCGCAGCCTCTCCAGACGGCAGGATTCAAACAAAGGCTTTGATCACTTGGGTTATGAAGCTGGAAGCGTCCTCACCAAACTGGGGCGGGTGGCAGATGCAGCCTCTGCTCCCAGCCCTGTTTTTTTGGCAGTCCCTGCCCAGCAGCACACGCAGGCTTTGTGGGGCCGAGGGCACACCTCTGCCAGCCCGATTGCAGCACCTTGGGCGAGCGATAAGCAAGGCTTATAATTAACAGCTTATCCTCAGCTCTCAGAAGACAGCAGGTGCTCCTTCGATTGATTTCGGTAGCGGCTGGCTCAGATCCTGAATCTGTTGCAGGAAGGTATTATTCCCAAATGCTGTGAATTCCTTTGTCCTTCTCTCTTTCCCAGTTTTCCCATTTGTGGTTCTCTATAAGCTCTGGGGATGATTTTCACCTGATTTTTCTTGCCCCAGAAGAAGCACAAAGGTGAGCTTTGTGGCACCCGGTGCTTGCATTTGCCTCTCAGCCCTGGGGAAGGACACCATCCAAGTGCTCAGCTCCGGCCACGCCTGGCACAGCTTCTCCAAATGCACGGCCAAGCTGGGAGATGGCTCCTCCTGCTTTCCAACAGGCAGCAGCGAGGGATGCTTTCAGCTGCTGCTCAGGGGTGGGACACAGGATTTTGGAGGTGCCTGCTGGGACCCCACGGGACTGAAAATACAGTAAAGGAGCTGTGGTAACATATCCCTGCGATAGCACGTTCTGTCAGCTCAGCT